CCACCACCACCACCACCACCACCACCCACCACTACCACCCACCACCACCACCACCACCACCCACCACCACCACCCACCACCACCACCGCCGCCACCACCACCACCACCACCACCACCACGACTACTACTCCTCCTCCTCCTCCTGCTACCGCTACTGCTGCTGCTGCCGCGACGACGACTATTGAGGCCACAGCGTCGGGGACTACTGCCCCTACAGTACCTTTGCTGGTCCTTTGCAAGTGCCGGTGCTACCGCTACTGCTATCGCTTCTACCAATGTTACTGCTATTGCAACTGCTACCACCACTCTGCGCTGTCTTGCAGCCATTTGTGGTGCCAAACTCCTTGCACACGACCGGAACGTGTTTCAAAACACTTTGCGTTGAGAAGGCTGGCTTGGCGAAGCCGTATCCGAGCGGCTTGCCGAGAAAGTATGCAATCACTTCCGTGCTGAGGAAACATGTGCTGCTCTTTCAGTAGGGAAAGCCCGCCCAAGGTGACATGTCTTTGAAGGCCTTCTGCAGTGAAGCGCGGTTTGAACGCACTATGGCTGAAGCTCCTACGTGCCCGGAGGGGGACGGGCTTTGTCCTGCCTCCTTTCTGCATCAGCATGTGCGAGCACTCGCAATAGGAAGACAGATTTCACGCTGTGCTTCGCCATTTCAGGTTTTTGGCGACCTGCTGGCAACATTGCTAAAGTGCATGGGCGCCAGAAAGAGCACAGAAAATGCCGTGGCCCAGCTAGAGTGGCTCGGTGAACGATGCATGCAGACTTTGGCATGTTCTGTCCGCTTGGAACTCTTTTGGTAGTTGTCAAGTTTTCTCTGAAAGGTCCGTGGCTGGTGGGCGTGTGACATATTGCACGCCCGCTGGGCGAGGGGCAGCAGCAGATGTTGGAAGGAAGCCGCAGGAGATGCAGACACATGGGGGTTCGGTCATCGCCCGTACCACGCTGTTGTACGGCCAGGAGCGGGTAACTATGGAGCGAATCTACGAATGGCTGGAAGAGAAGGTGGAAAGCTTCGACCTCACAAGCCACTAGGGTACAGGGCACCCTGAAAGTGTGCACACCCAGGCCTGGACACAATGGGCCGCAGTGGCGATGCCAGTCGGCGGCGGTGGCTGTCGTGGGCAGAGTTGGCCGCCACTGAGACTGTCCAAATAAGAGCGATTTCGAATGGATGACGGTGTTCTGGCCGTAGTAGCAGAGTGCAGAGGGTGCCGTGTCCTCATGTCATAGTTGGTGTGGATGAGGCTGAAAAGCCTTGGCTCCTGGATCCTCTGCTAGTGAACCGGGAGGAGCGACCGTCGGCTGCTTTTGGGTAACAAGGGCCAGCGCAAAACCTGCTCAGAACAGCTTGCCCCGGGCAAGCTAAACAAAAGCCAACACATCGGATTTCTGACTCCGGATTGAAGGGCAAGGTGGAGAGTCATGCTAACGCCGCCGGCCGCTAATGGTGTAGGCGAGACTAAGAGCCCCACAGCCCACAGCAAGGAGGCCGCTTCACCTTGAGCTTCCTCATTCGGAGCAAGCGTAGAAGCAATACCCGAGCAGGCAGCCCAGGCGGGTGTTGCCTGTCTCGCTGGCCGCGGTCTGCGAGCCTCTGCCCAATCACTCTGCAAGCTGCAGCTGGGACTGGATATGACTAGATGGGAGAACGGAGAAAGCCGACAAGCATGCAGTGAGCATTTTAGCAAAGTGCGCCCGCATCTTGTCGCATGACAAAGGTTCGCTGCCGATTACGTGCCACCAGAGATGTTGCGCTACAGCCTGCAGCCCGGGAAAACTTTGCGCTTCCGCAATTTGTGCCCCAGCAGCACCGAAGATTCTGGTTGCGTCGCCATTGTACTGTAGTTGAGCATGACATTATGGAAGCCTGGACGTCGCAAGGCAGGAGTGGTGGGAGTCCATGGGAGTTGCCGAGCGAGCCGTCGGTGGTTGGCAGCTCTTTCCCTTCAAGTCCAAGGATGGCTCTGAGTTACAGGGCTACGGCTTTGCAGATGGACAGACAGGCCCTTAATTCATGCCAGTGGCTTTTGCAACTCGGCCCTGGATCCGTTCCACTCTTGACAGGCTCCATCGTAATCCGTCTGCACCATGCGACCATTGTGGTGCTGCTCAGCTCTGTGTCAACAGAGACTCGCCACGCTGGCCGCTCTCTCCTCGACACCATACTGGGGGAGCTGGGGCTGGAGGCAAAGTTATGTTAAAACCAGGCGTGTTTGTCACAAGCGGACGTCTCCTTCCGCAGGCTGCTTGGCCGGCACAGCCGCCACCCTTGCCCAAACGTGGAACCGGGACGACGACTGGAGCAGTGGCGGCATCTTCAGAGCCCAGGATGTCTGCGGACAGGACCGCTCCGGCTAGCTCTTAGGCGCTCTCACGAGCAGTCGAAGTGCCAGGAGAAGTTCTGACGATTTGCAGCAGCAGCTCAAGAAGGTGCCCCATTGCCTTCGTCGCAGTTCATAGAGGGGGGGGGGTGGTGACGTGTTCTGCATCCTGGCAGGTTGAGGCTCAGGTGGCGAAGTTGTCCGAGGTTTTGGACTTGGTGCTGCCCGGAGCCAGTGCGGCGATATGCCGGGCTCCTCCGCTCCAACAACTTCCAAACCAAGGGGAAAGCGACGAGGGATGCCTTTACGAAACCGAAGCTGAGGATGACCCGGGCAGCAACGCAACCTTGGCCGGCTTCTGGCTGAGCCTGTGCCCGAGTGCCGCTGAAGAGCTTGCCTCATCTTGCCCCTGCGAATCAACCCGAGGTGAAGAGACCGAAGGCCTGGATTCTTTGTTGGAGGCTTTGGAGGTCCGACCTTGGTGACTTGTCCAGAGTTGTCCCATGCGAGTAACTGCAAGTGAAACGCAGGTGCCACAGATGGTTTCCTCCATGGCTTCTGCCGCAAGACGGAGTCTGCGCATCGAGCCTCTTTTGTGACAGGTGTCCGTCGCCGTACACATGTCATGCGCGCACACCCACACACATGTCACACTTGACTTGCACTCGCTACTCACTCCGTTGCATGCTTAGGATGTGGAGGGGAACGATGTCAAAATTGCCTCCACGACATCAGTCTGGAGCCGGCAAATCGAGGTTGGTACACACAGCTCAGTGTGCCAACTTGAGCCGATTCGCACAGCCACCAATCTGGGCTGCAGGAAACCACGACGAGATTTCAAGTCGGACAAACCTTCTCCGGCCAGCAGACACTGGGAGGTGACTTCTCCGGTCAGGCTTTTTGGATAGAGGCCGGATGCTTTCCTTCAAAGCCATCTGACCAAGACGCGTGTCTGACAGGACGCCGAGGCTGCCAAAGGCGCTCAGTCACAGCAAATTCTGCAGCTGGTGAAAAACTTTGCAGCTGAAGGCAGGATGGCTGAGGGTGCTGAGACCACGATTTGCAATTAGCTTTTCCCAGGCTTCCAACTTGAAGAGACTTTCAAGATCAAGTCGGACGGTCGTCTTGCGCTAACAACAGCACTCAGTAGTGCTCAAAGGCAGCCCCTCAGCTTCCAATTCTGAAGTAGCTTGATCAGTACTGTTTCAACATGCCCAGTGACCGTGTGAATGCAAGGTTTGGGACGCGCAGGGTGGAGGTGCACAAGCCAGAGGAACTCGGAATGCTTTGCAAAGCATTGGATCCCAAGGACCGGGATGGGCAAGGCATTGACAGTTATGTCTTCACCCCGGGGGCAGCGCAGGACATGATGCTGACTCAGCAGCTCTCTCTTCCAGGGAACATCAAAGCTCTTCCTAATGGCAGCCGGGTCGCTGGAATTGGGCCGGCGGATGCGAAGGAAGAAGACGAGGTGCCGGCTCAAGATTTTTCTGAGCACCAGATGCATTGTCAGCGTGCTTTTGTGCACGAGTGCACACTGCAACCCCTTCTGAAATACTGAGGCAACTCAGCCTCGAAGCTTTCAAGAGCTCGAGAAACTACAGCTGCCGGCCTCCATCTTTCTACGCCTTGAAACCATAAGGCCAGCACGGCTGAACCGTGTTCAGAGCGCAGCCTCGCGGGAAGTAGCGAGAAACTGCAGCTGATTGGTGTGCGAGCTTTTTTTTCTGTGGGTCGCCCTCGGCAAATACTCAGTGTGTGACACGTTGAAGAGTGCTACCTCTGCCAGGAGCACGACACAATTCCGTCGTGAAGGCGCATCGGAAGGATTCGGCGCGGTTCCTGCTGAGTTGCCAGGGTCCCCAGTACCAGCCTAGTACCAGCTGTTCAGCTTTGGCACCGTGACTGCGGCACGTCTCGTCCGATTCCCCGAGTATTGCCGAGGCTGTCCTCTCTACCACCTGAAGTGCAGCAGGCCCTGGCAGATCGGCAGGCGAGAAGAGACGAGACAAGATGCCACTATGCACAGAACAGATCGGCAGAGCCGGGACTCGTGACATTGTCTGCTTTGCAAAACACACACCCCTCGGTCTGCCACAGTGTTTGGGCACTGCTCAGAGAATTTTCTCCTTGCGCAGGCTGCATCGCCAGTTTCAGCCGTTTCCGGTACCTCTTCGGCCTCTGCGCCCTTGCTGTCGCCCGGTCACAAGGTGCCACAAGCAAAGAGAGGCCAGCAACCCAACTGCTACGCGTTCAGATACTGGGCGCGAGCTGAAGCCTGTGTGGATCTGAGCTGGTCGCTAGTCCCGGAAGGCTGGCTGATGAGCTGCGGTGTGGGCTTGGGCAAGTTGTGCCTCGGGTCATGCGGCCTTGCGGGCAAGGCACATCGTTCTCGCAGCTGTAGGCGAACCCCTAGCCTGCGCAATCGTGTGTATCAGGTGCTGCAGTTAGGTGGACGAGCAACGGGCTCCGCGTGCCATGCTCTTTGTTCGGACGCTTTGGCAGCAGAACCGTTAAGTCGAAAGCTTTCGAGTTCGTAGCGATTACGACGGTTTGCACTGCTCTTGTCCTGCCAGGACTCCATCTCGCACAGACTACGAAGGTCAGCGGCGGATCGTTTAGAGTCGGGTGCTCAAAGCTCTGCAGGGTTTCGTGTTTTGGTTTGTGCATAGCGGCATTGCGCTAGTTGGCAGGGCAGCATCTTATCTTGACGATTCGGAGTCATGTTTCTCGCACTGGGAAAGCTCCACTGTCATGAATGTCTCAGGCGAAACGCAGCCTGTGATGTCTCACGCACTGCCGCTTCCGTCCGATCCGACAGTCGCCCTGAAGACCCAAGCATCTTCTTGCTGAGGTATGTCATCAAGGTGGACAGGACCCAGGATGCCGGGCTTGGCATTGAAGTCAACAAGACTGCCGAGGGCAGGCTCAAGGTCCTTCTGGTACAGCCTGGACTGGTCCAAGACTGGAACGATGCGCATCCCTCGCTGCAGGCTGCGCCGCTGCGCGAGTTTCGGCGGTGTCCGCACGAGAGACTGTCTGCGTGGAGCAGGTTCTGCCGGGGGACATCCTGCTCACAGTCAATGGCCAAAAGGGAGATGCCAAGCAGCTGATGGACGCTGAGCCGCAAGTCACGGAAGTTCCCGCGCACAGGGCGGCAAGCACCAGCCGAGGACTTCTGCCGCCAGCAGCAGCCCTTGGACCTTCGGTTTTGTCGGGAACAGCCGTCTCCATCGGTGAAGGCACGGCAAAGCAGAGCTCTGATGACTCTGCCGCTGCTTGCTTTTTCCGCTTTCCATCCCGTGGCCTAGAGGACTCAGAGCCAAAGCCGCTGAAAAGCGAGCCTTCGCTGGCAGGCACTCCTGGGCCATGTCGCCAAGCGAGTTGCATTCATGCAATGTAGTGGGGTAGCATGCATGTTGGATGTCGTGGGTCGGATTCTGGAGCAGGCGGGCTGCAGAATGAGCCACAGGCGCCGCTTTTGCCTCAGCTCGAGGACTGCATCGATGTTAGTGCGTGTCATGGCATGTTTTGATCTTGCGCAAGCTGTTTAGAAGCACGTTGACGCGCAACAGCCAAAGCCAAGAGTCAAGAATAAATCCAGGAGGCCATTCCCGAGAAGCCGACTGAGAGCGTTGGCCAGGCAGGTCTTTGTAAAATGTGGGGTCAAGGCTGCCTTCTAAGTCAGTATGGCAATGTCAGCCCCACTCGCATGATGTCTTGGATGTTAGAGGGGAGGAGGCGCTGAAGCCTTTAAATCCTTTAGTTCACAATTCAAGCATGTTGTCCATGCTCGGTGGAAGCCTTACAAGCTCGCGGCAGTAGCAGAGCCAGCGCAGGTCTACTACTGCTTTCAAAATGTTGGGAGGCATGTCCAGACCAACATTCATATGTACGCATGCACACGTTACTCTGTGCAGAATGTGCCCCTGCCGGATCTCATGCACTTGCCAAGGCACTGCGCTTGATTAGCATCTGAGTTTTCCCGCAAGCCAGGCTCCGACGAAGCCCCAGTCGAAGTCTGTACGCTTTGAGAACGGCACAGGACAGGCCGCCGTCTTGTCCTCAGCATCGTGTTGTGGAGCTCTTCTGCAGGAGCTCTGGACAAAGCTTCCGGGGCGCAGCATGGGCCGTTGGGACAAAAATCCTCGAAACGAGGCGTGCCTGAAGCAACAGAAAGCTGCAGAACATTGCCATGTAGTGGCCGACTCGGGTGTAGCAAAGTCTGAGACTGGAGCCAGGTGTCCAGGGAGGAAGCTCGAGCAGTTCGAGCAGTGCGAGAGAGCCGAGAAAACAAGCGGATGCTTCTCCTTTGGCGGCTCCTCACACCCAGGGCCAGGACCTCCAGGGCTCAACTTTACGAGCCTGGCTGGTCACTTCTGTCCTTCCAGGATCCAGTAGTGGGGGCGAAGTTCACAGACCCACGCGGGAGGCATCGGCTGTGCACGAGTTGACTTTGCAAGCCCAGTGCGAGCTCGCATTTGTGCTGTGACAGGTTGGGCAATGGTTTAGGCATTGTTGCCTTCTCACGCTTTGGCACGGACAGCCATGCTGAGAAGCTATGCCGGTCGCAGATCTTTGCAAACAGCTTCGAATCTGGACTGCGTTATTATTGCACCCTGCTGCTCGAGTTTGCATCTTTAGAGCATTTTGTCGCAGCTGACTGTGTGTGGCGGCGGGTTCACATTGCCAGATTTAAGGACCACGGAGCAGGCAGGCTTGTCGTCTCTGCTCCATGCAGCAGAGCAACACAAAAGTTTCGCAATGCCGAAGCTGCCAAGATGCATGCAAGACTTGGGGAGCTTGTCTGTTCGTGGTGATTATGTCCTGCTACGACCCGCTTCGGACCAATATGTTTGATGTCAACTTTCACTTCTTCGCATCAAAATTAGATGTTGCAGCTGGGTGGCGTTGCTCTGCTGCGCTCCTGCGCTCTGTGGCTCAGGCTGCATACCAGGCCACCTGGAACTGGCCCCTGGCTAGCATGTTCCAGGAGACTGTGGTGGTTTGATCTCGTGTCAGTCGATCTGTGCTTGTGCGGAAGCGCGTATAGGAGCTAAATGCCATGGCCGCCGTAAAGAAAGTGCAGCGTTTTGGCAGCCATCGGGACAAGTCACGTTCCTTGGACATCTGAAGCTGCTGAAATTCGCCGTTGCAACTAAAGGACTTCTTGAAGCTTCTCGCGCTTTGGAGCCCATGAGGTGCAGGCTTTACGAACAGCTGGGCGGCCATGGGCGCTGTGCTTGAAGCGAAGTTTGCCCCAGAGTCACACTTCGCAGCAGCGCTTCTGCACACTGATGAAGCATTCCTCCTGGACACAGGTCGAGCGCACGCACATCCATTCATCGGGAGTTTGGTTAAATCTTTGAATTTGACAGAACATGGCACTGCCTGGATCAGGCTCAGAGAATCCATCGGACATTGCAGAGAAGGACGGTTCACGATGGTTCATGCGTTCCACTGCTCGGGCTTTGTTCTTGCACCACGGTCTAAGCCAGGCTGACGACAAGCGGGCAAGTATGCTGTTTGCTCTTGTGACATCTGCAGATTCTGGTGACATTGGACAGGATCTTCTTGAGAACTGGTTGGGCATGATGCTCATGATCGTGCGAGACAAGCTGTCCGGAAAGAGCAGCTGGACCAGCTACTTCGAAGGAATGGTTGAAACTTGGCTTTGTTCCGTAGTGTCTGAACATACAGGACTCTAAGATGGACCGGAATATGAACGATCTTATAATCGAAAAGCCGTTCTTTTCCGAAACTCCCATGTTTTTGCACGACTTGCATAGGTTGTGCCAGAGCTGAGGACAGTTCAGGACATCCAACAGACGGAGCCAAAGCCGCTGCGTGGTCGGGTGCGGTGCGAAATGCAAGTGAAGCTCTCCGGACACCCTGATCTTAAAAAGCCAGACGTCTCGTGCACGATGCGTGCCTGTATAATCTTGTATGTGCATTTGGGACTATATGAGTAGCGAGGCATGTACGTATGCAAGTGTTGTCAATATGCGTATACAAGTGATAACTACCTCCGGCAGGCTTCGGTTAGGCGAGACCAGGAGCTTGTCCCGTGAGGACGGCATTGCCGGAATGACTGGCCTTTGAAACGCAGCCGTGAGACCGCTTGTACCCGTTTCACCTCGTGGCCTTGCAGGCATGATGCCTTAATAGTGCATCGGGACGCCCGGGGGGCTCATCGTTTTGCTGCGACGCAGTCGCAAAAAGAAGAGCCGAGAATAGGACACAGAAAGCATTTGGTCCTGGGGCCGGTGAGTGTCACACGCCAGTTCAAACACTCCTACAACCTCTACAACGACGCTCGGACTGGTGGACTCGAGACCGACCAGCTCTTGGCTCCTTTGCATTATTCGTGGAACTCTGCCGTCTGAGTATCTTCTGGAGCTCGTCCTTTGCGTTGAAACCGAGTTGCTCAGAATCGCTGCAGGCTATGTTGGGCTACCTGGGCTACGAAATGAGCGCAGAGGCTCCCATGGTGTGTCAAAAGACGGAATGCCGGGACATGGGGCGGGAGGGGGGGGGGGCAGGACAGCAAAAAATTGTCCTGTGAAGAGGTCGTGGCCAAAATGCTGGAGGAAGTGGACATAGACGGGAGTGGCACGTTGTCATTCTCGGAGTTTTTGATCTTCATGCGGACACATCCTTACTCTTCACGGCTGACTGATGTGTTCCCCCAAGCTACCATCCCGTCGCTGAGGAAGATCCGAGAGGCGGAGCTTGAGCGGCTAGAGGCCTTGATTTCCGTCATTCCGGCAGGCGTAGACCGTAGACATAAGCAGCTCGCTTCGATTCGAGGATGAACTGGAGAGACTGTCAAACTTGCCATCTGGAGACAAAGAGGCCCCGGCCTAGCCCGTGAAAGCCCGTGCGGAATCCTTCGTGCTTGATGTGAGCGCTTTGCCAGGACGTGTTGACTGGTTTGCTTCGCATCATGGGCTACATGCCGGACAAGGAGGTCAAGCTTGCAGTTCTGTGTGATCATACGAATCATGCGTATTGCTGCTGGGGTTTCTCTTTGTCTTTGCTTTTGGGCCTTTACAAGCCGATGCCGAAGCTAGCTGGCTGGCGTTCTCCTGAACAGTAGTCAGTAGTCATGGCCATAGCCAGTAGTCCATGGTAGGAGGACGCAGTTGTCGACGTTTCCTCACAGCACATGGAGTCAGAATGCCTGGCATGCGCAGGCTGTCCGCGATGCCGCAGTTGACAGCAACATCAGCCTGGCCAAGCCGACGCGAAGTGCTGAGCGCTTCCCCTCGTCGGAATCAGAGCTAGTGTGCTTCACAAGCGCTGCCTCCATGTGCTGAGGGTTCGACGAGCAAGCCTTGCCCAGCTGTTGCCTAACTCTGGGAAACAGCCGGCTGGCTCGGTGTCTGCCACCCCGACTTACAAGGCCTGTAGCTCACAGAATGACGTTGCTTCAAGGCTTGTCAGATTAAATTGTACGACAGGGCCGCTGCAAACTTGATGTTCAGAGTCTCTTGAGATTGCCCGCAACCCGAATAACCTTGCTTCGCTACTTCAAGTGTTCAACTTCGTGTGCTTCCCGTGCATGGTTTCCTTATTGGAAACGGATCTCAACGGTTCCCTATAACCACATCAGATGAGAGACCGGCATTTCGTTTGCTTGGCCAGGCCACGGTGACCCTCTCGGAAGCATATCGCTTCCTGGAGGCTGGGGCTATGCAGGTTCTCATGCATCCAGCAAAATTGGATGCAACTGGGTATTGATGCAGTTTTGTTCGGACTTAGCCTACATGATGCTGAGGGTGTGGGCACAGGTGTACCGATGCCGTGAAGGCTTTACACGAGCAGAGGCCAATGAACTGCAGGCACGGCGAGCTGTCACTTGTTCTTCTAGCAGCAGCACGAAACAGACCTTGACAAATTCCTGCGCAGGAGTACTATAACCGTTTTGCACAGACAGCTGGTCCTGCAGATGCGATGCGTATCAGTCGGGAGCCTGCATGTTTCAAGCCACCTGCGATACGCACGGAGAGTGCTATGAAATTTGGCCAGTTATTGTTTGCCAGGTTCCTACGATGCTTCCAGGGCATTGACTTGGCTTGGCTACCGCGCAACACATGAGGAGCACCAGCTGACTTTCTCCAAGGTGCTGTCTCACTGTTGTCCTTCACTTTTCGGGCTGCGAGGGCTGGGCCGGCCTGTGTCCTTGATGATTTCGTGGATATGGCAGATGTCCAGGTAGATGTCGGCAACGCGGGCAGCATCAGCCTTGCTGAGTTCATGAAGTTGGCCACGCTCTCAGACCACATAAATGCAAACAGGAGCTTGAACACATGTCCGTGTTGCAGATCTTTGGTGGATGCAGGTGCGGATTTATCGTTCCGTGGAGTTGGAAGAGATCCGTGCCTCATTCCTCAGGCGAGAATTGTTTGATGACACAGGCACTCTGAAACAGGATGATGTGTGATGTGGTTCAGACCTATCGGTATTTATGAACCAGTTTGGAAGCAGGATCGGTCTTGCCGGCAAAGAGTCGGGCGAGGAGGGTCGCAGGGCGTCCGGTTCCCAGTCACTGGCTGCATCTACTAGTGACCTGACTTGCCTGCCTGTTGCTGTGCTTCCGTGCTGCTCTTTGCACAGATCGCGTTTTTTCGGGACCGGCAGGTCTTCGTTGTTGCAATGGCTTTTCAGAACGCCGAAGATTTGTTCCAGAGCCCCCTTCGGTTGACTCGTGTGTCGCTATTGAGCATAGGGCGAGTATGAAGTAAAAATGCAGCTCAGATCGCGCATGTTCGGCCGGTGCAGGAGAGAGACACAGAGAGTGGATAAGCCAGCTTCGATGTGCTCCACTTGCAGTCGTACTCTCGCGCACCCCAAATGGCGCCAGAGTGCTTGCAAATGAAGCTGTATCCTTCGAAGAAGAGCAGGGGGTGGCGGTGTAGGAGGAATCCACTGGGTTGGAGAAGGTTGAACCTGAGAGCTCGCCCGCACCACAGCATGCACACTTTCACACTCGTTATCACTTCAAGCTTTCACTGGTAGCAGGTGATGCTTGTGTGTTTCCTTGCTAGACATCCGCTTCGCATCAAGGGCATACGTACTTCTGCCAGCACTTCTCAGATTTGTTGTTCCCTGCCATGCTTTCGTCACCAAGCCAGCGCAGGGCACGACACAGTCTGGCCTTCCTCGGCATGGGACACAGTAGCACCGAGAAGGCCGGGTGGACCAAGATGAGAAAGCACCCTAGAGGATATTATACTAGGTGATACTACACTGGTTTTTGCTTTGTAATACTTTTGTACTACACTGTGGTATCTTATAGTTTTTTGTTAGCCAAGACGATCCGGAATGGGTGATGTGTGTGTGTGTGTTTGTGTGTTTGCTTGTGCTTGGATGCTGGCCCTTGCACATGCGACAGCCGGTAAGAACTCCAACTCCCCAACCCTTAGGGTCACGAATCCTGAGTCGTGAGCCCTATAGACATAGTATAGCATAGTATAGTATAGTATGGTATCATATAGTACAATGTAGTATACTAGTATAGTTTCAACCTGGCCTTCCCGACCCAGTATCGAAACGCTGAAGCTTAAAGCCTCAGATGCTGCAGAAATCGAGGCCCCAAACTCAGAGCCTTGTGAAACCCCCGAGCTGGTTGGAATTAGCCTTCCATGGTCGAGGCTTTGCAGCTTCTCGCCGCAACGCTTCAAAAGTCATGGTCACCATAGTGCGCTTGAAGCGCAAACCCTAAACTCCAAATCTTAGACCTGAAACGCAAGCTTCTTTGTCCGTAGAGGTGGTATAGACACGTGTAGACGCAGAAGGACAAGCTCATGGACCAACAGGAGCCTCTAGCAAGCTGCACCAAAGTTCTTCACTGTCCCATGTGAAGCAGCTCAGTAAAAGATGTGTACATAGGCATTGCAGATAGTATGGCTCTGCAGGGCCTCTGAGGGGCTAGGGTCGGTAGAGCCTTCGAGCATGGGGAGAACCTCGACTCTCGACTTGTGAACTGTAAACCCTGAGCCCCAGATTATGAAGCCCGTGACCTTTGCCCGAAAAATTGAACCTGTAAACCCTGACCACCCCGGAGTATGCAGGGCAGATAAGAGCAGGCCTCGAAATCTCGGGACGTGGACGATGCAAAGTGCCCTCCCCGGGCTGAATGAGATTCCGCGGTGGAACAGGTTTAACGTTTCGGGTCTGGGGTTCCCGGGTTAATCATTGCCGTTCCGGGATTCGGGTTCATAAGTTCTAGTTGTGTACTTGCTCCTTGCCCTGATGCGGTTTACTGGGGGGTCAGGTGTGGCACCAATAAAGGATTCATGCAGTCGTGCTAAACATGGATGGGGTGAAGGTAGTGAGGTACTGTCATCATGAACTTATGCCACGATAGAGGGTCGGCGACTAGATCCACCAAGACGTCAAAGGATAAGGCGTCAACTAAGGTCCGATCCTGCGAATGCAGTTGCAGTGTTTGTCAAGACACTGAGGGCATGTCGGCAGAGTTTGCGAGGTACGGGGTGTTACGCAATGCCGTGGCGAAGCGCTGTCAGATGCGGGCTTCACGCTCAGATCTGCATGTCTTGCAAGAGCTCAAGAATTAAGTTTTCTTGACATTGACATCCTGGAAGCTGCAAGGCAATCGCACAGATGCACCACGGCTTCGGCGCTGACGAGGTTGAAACTATGCAGTCCAGGCGGCGGCTGGCACCGCGTCTACATCGCGCATGGAGCATCTGAAGATGTCTGGCAATCCACGTGTGCTAAGGGGGGGGCTGCAGAAGGAAATTTTGTCGGGGCCTAGGCAGCTTTCGGCAGGTTCTCCCAATACGACTCCGACGGCAGCGGTGCCATTTCTGCGGCCGAGCTCCGTCTTCTTTGCCAGGACGTTGGGTTGAGTTGACTCAGGCTACAACTGCCTCGGGTGTCCGGGCCGTTGGAACACATTGGCATATTGGCACGACATCTTTGCTTTTCATGTCGTGTAGTGCTTGGCTAGCTGCAAGTTCTCAGTCGAAGAGCAGGTGAAAGACCCTCATCTGGTCAGGAGATGTTGCCCAAGATCGCCACCGACCCCAAGTCTCGGCCGGAACTCATCCGGCTGATCAAGGAGGTGTGCCGGCACAGTATGTCACAGAACTTTTAGAATGTGAAGGAGTTATAAGTTACAGGCGTATACTGCCCAAACCCAGCTAAGATAACCCGGTTTACGCCAAGTCTCAGACGGTGGAGGGTTAACAAGACAAGAGTCTTGACTCTTGACCCTGGAGCCATTGCCATTGCGATGATCGTCGAACGTTGCATTCGCTCAGATGGACTCTTCTGGAGATGGAAATCTCAACTTCAACGAGTTTCTGAAGTTGATGCGTTCTCAACTCAGCGAGTCTCAAGTTGAAGAATGTAAGCCATTATATTATACTATATTATACTATATTGTACTATATTGTATTATATTATATCATATTATATACGGACCAGTCAGAGCATGAGCTCATGAGCTTGTTTCGGTTTTCAATTGATGCAAAGGTGACTTGGAAGACAGCCAAAGCAAAGCAAAGTACACAAAGGACCTGTCACCTTTTAGCAGCTGGACGCGGTAGCCAGCAGGTTGTCGCGATCTGCATGATGAATGCACAACGAAGTCCTTGGAGGAAGAGCACGTTGTGGATCAGCTGCCCTTCACCAGTCACCAGATTCGGGACTTCCGTGAGATCTTCATCGAACACGTTTGCTCGGCCCGAGTTTGGCAGTCGCCTAGAAGCCCGAGAAAGCTTGCAACTTCAACTGTGGAGCGACTGTGGAGGGAAGAGTTGGAAGCTGGTCGAATGTTTTTGTATCTTCGAGCCAGATGAGGAGGATATGAAATTGCAAGCCACCGGCACGACATACCTCCTGCAGTGCTGTCTTGCCTGATAGATAGGTGCGATGACCTGCAAATCATTGTCTTTGTTCATGCCAGGATGAGGACCGTGAAGACTTGATTTCCTTTAAGGCGGTGCAGACACTCTTGATCCTTGCCTATGGTTACGATCGATTTTGAGGTGAGAAATGTGAAAAGCACACACACACACACACGTGCTTTGCCTCAGCCAGTGCTTCACGGTCCGTGGCAAAGGTCTGTACTGATACCAATGGGAGATCGCCGAGCTGCCGCCCCAGCATTTCACATTCCATGTCCATGTGGTGGTTTCCGAAAATAAGGGGTACCTTGCTTGGGGGTCCTTATGATAAGGATCCTACTATTTAGGGTACTACGTTAGGGTCCCCTATTTTCGGAAACGCCCATGTCCCAGATTAAAGAGTGAGCTTTCCTCCTCCGGTCTGCAAGCGTCGTCTGCCAGCCATGTCGCTGCCACGAGCGGGCAGCACACACACACAAGAGCAGCTACTGTAGCAGCAACAACCACCAGCATCACCACGAGCACAGTCGCTACAGCGACCCTAGCTACAGCAGCCGATAAACAGCAGCAGCGACCACAGAAATCCAAGCTATACTTGACAGAGTACCAGGAGAATATGCTTAGAGAGCAAAATGCTTGCAGACATTTGCATACATGCGCAGGCACAATACTATTGGCAACGATCATCGTGAATGCCCCTGGCTTCGAAAAACGAGAGTAAGTGAGATTGCATTTACAGATACAGCTACTATATAGCAGTGGGACTGGCTGTTCTCAAAAATAGGCTGACCGAAGCAGGGTGCGGGAAACTACGGCAATGGTCTCGAGGTTATGAAATTGGAATGAAGCTGCCAATGATATCAGTACCCCCAAAAAACCCAGCAAGCAAGAATCCTACTAGTAGCATCAACGAAAGCATCGTATCAGCCACACCAGCTCCGTGACGGTGATACTAGAGTGCTGCCACCACCACAACAGCCCCTCAAACACAGGTGCATGCGATGGCTTGGGATATAGCAACCTGATCGGTAGCAAAACTGGGCTAGCAAGAGGACGCAGAAATTTTCAAGTTATGCAGGTTCTTCAGCTCTCCGAGATTTGGCAGAGGAATGTCCACGTGCCCATGGCGCCAGAAGACCTCCAGGCCTCCTGCCCTCGGGTTTTCTTTGATTCCCCGTTGCCTTGCACGCTTGGCAGACATAAGTACGAAACTAAATTTGCAGGGCCATTGGCTTGTTCTTGTAGCTGGCGAATGGCGTTTCAAATCCACTGAGAGCTGCGCCTCCATCGTAGGGCTACGCAGACTTGAGAACCAATCCATAATCGATGCGCCCTAAACCCTAAACCCCAGTCCTGGACCCTGGACTTCCCGGACTTCCTCTTGCTGATGCACGAACTGCCGGAGACTCAAGGAATTCAGGGGTTTGGGGTTTAGGGTTTAAGGGGGTCTGGGGTTCAGGCGCCTCTCAGCGCGTGAGGTTCAAGGATACCGTGGCTGTTCATGTCTCGAGCTCCCTCACGGTTTCCAGCTGTGCTCCTGCTGCAGTATATATACACTATAACAGAACACTAGACTGTGCCATACTATACAACATTGTACTTTTTGCTGCACTATACGATACTGCACTATACTATACTATACGATACGATATGATACTATACTACACTATACCCCTTTCCTATACTGTACCCCTGTCCTGCAAAAAGCAACGATTTCGGGGCCAGCCTGGGCCAAGTCTCGAAGAACAAGGCAAAGTTCAGGTTTACGGTGTACCTCATTTGGTTCACGCTGGTTGCCTAAAATTCCGCTTGGCAGTATTGTAGGTTGTCGGGGATTGAGCACCGCGATTCAAGAACAGTGATTCGATGATTTGGGATTCAAGCTTCATCAGTTTAGTGTTTCAGGGGCAGGTCCATTGGGTTGTTTTGCGCCGAAAAACCGCAAATCGGAGCAGCTTTTCAAGCAAAATTGGCGAAAGCACTTGGTGACCCTCCGTCAAGTACGAACGCTGCGCCGAAAATGATTCTCTCCGATGCACAGGTTGGAAACGGATTTCTGCGGCATCAAGGCCAAAAGTGCCGCTGCTGCCCTTGCCTCAGTCGGCGTTTTAGGATCTTGCGCAGCATGCCCAGATCAGGTGAGTGAGATGGAGAGGCTGAAGAAAAGATACAAAGAGTGCTTAGCTCAGGCGCTTCAAGCGCAGGCATAATCAGGCTTCACGTCTGACAAGTGCGAAGCCATGCGAAGCCTTTGACTCCAGGCCTTCGTCACCGAGGCTTTATCCTCGGATCACTGTTTTCAGCCGTGTGCGTGCTGATGGGTCTCTGTGTGTCTTCTTGACGAGGTCCGTCAAACCGTCCTGGACTCTCCCAGCTGCCGCCTTGGTGATCCCTTGCTCTGGCTTAGCAGGAAGCGCTTGAATGCCGCATCAAGCACTGAAAGCTGGACCGAGCCTTTCTGACGGGCGAAGGACTGCCCCTGGAGCCGAGGCTACGACGGACTCTCTCGTGCCGGATGAAGATGCCCTTTTGACAGGATCCAGAACGCTCGGTAGGCCATTTTGAGGACTTGTGCGGGCCGTCGGGCCCGAGTTGATGACCTCCCCAACTCCATGGGACATGGCACAGGTCTTCCCAAGCCTTACTGGCTCGTGTTTTCAACCTTGGTCGAAATAGACTTGGCGACTGGCAATACGTCGGATCTCCGCCTTGTCTGAGAATGTGAGGAGGATCCATGTACAGCAGGAAGCTGCTGAAAAAGGCGGCTTCATGATTCATGGATCTGCTCGTGGACATGGCCAGAAAATGTTGGGCGACATAAGAGAGCCGAGTCGTGACTACATGCAAGGTCTGAGAGGTCCCATCCATGCCGCTGCAAACTGTGGAAGCCACTGGGCCTGGTGCGCCACCCTGTCAGGCCCCCACAGCAAAACACCTCCGCCTTCCAAAAGCCATGGTCGGCTATCGGCTTGGATGGGCCTAACAGTAACTCGGTCGTCAGGTCAAACCGCAGAGTGGCCATGCTGTAGGTTCTATGATTGATGTCGGTTCTGCTCTGAAAATGTGAGTTTCAGAAAACAAAGGAGAACCGAACCGCTGTAGTAGGAACCCTTACAAGGACCGCCGCATGAGTTCCCATGATGCGCGAGTTCGGCGAAACCCTTTTCCGCTGATTAGGCCTCAGTTACATGGTCAGCTCAAGGAGCCTTTTGCTAGACTCTTGATACCAGTATTGAGCTCGAAGACCTGCTGCAGCCATTAGGCTCATTTAGTTTGGTGCAAGTCTGGCCTGTTGCAGTGAAGCGCTCTTGCCACGGACAGCGGCAAGAGCAATCATGCCAGAGCCAGACAAGTATCCGCAATCAACGCCACCGCCACTTGCGCCTCGCGGTCGGACCATCCGTGCCGGCCGGTTCTTCCTGAGGAACCGCGGCCTGGGCTGAATGAGTTTCTGACTTTTGAAGGACCTCCGAGCCAATTCAATCTGTTGACCCAGGTGGTGGACTCAAGAGCGGGCCACGAGCGCCGGTGCCATCCCATGCTGCAGGCTCGTCCCTTTCGTGGCTTTCTGCTCCAGACTCAAAGGGTTGCAGCTTGCCAACATCAGCTCAGTGCAGGCTCGTGCAGTTCTGCCAGCGGCACAGAAGCAAGGACTGCGGCCAAGCATGGGGAAATTGTGCATATACTGTCGAAAAACCTTTGTCTCTGCCGAAATCTACTACTGTAATCGATGTCAGCTGGTATCTGGTTCTCCTCAGGAATCCGGCAAGAGGGCAGCACATCAATTACGTTGCACCTCCACCAGTGCTAAAGCTGAGCAGTGGCGAGATGGCTTTTTGGCTGAATCAAGGTTGGTCAGGGAACATGCATGCATGGTCAACAAGCTGCCAGGACTGGAAGGAGGCTTTCCGCCAGCTGCTGGCTGAAAGAGTACCAGAGGCTTCGGAGATTTTCGAGTTCTTTCAGCGGTTCGACGATTACAACAAAGCGCTGGGGGCACGCAACAACTTCGACAGGAACACATCCGGCATTTGCAACATGTTTTGGGAGAACTTCCAGCATCAGGCGATACCAGCGCCTTCCCCGCTATTTTTCCTTCACTTCCTAATCAAGATCATGGAGTACATGCTAGCAGGCTATTTGCAGGGTGTGGCCCAGACGGCGGCCAGACGAGCGGTGGCCATGGCATGGTCCCTGTTGGGTTCGACGCAAGAAGATATCCGGGAAGTGGTGTCAAATCAGCCGGTCGAGCTCATGCGCTTTCGAGGACATCTGCCTGTTTGCATGAAAAGCCGTTAAGAATAAATGTCATGCTCTCGAACGCTTTACTTCCGAAAGGACATGATGTGGCACGCCTTTTCACTGGACCTATGGAAATTGTCCGTGCAGCAGCAACCTGGCATCGATGCAAAGACTATAGTCTATAGTTGAAGGCTGGTCGAATAGAGCCGGTCAGCAAGACCTCCGCTCCTCCCAGACCTGCCCCTGCACTTGTCATTGTAGCATAGCTCCAGACTTCAGTGTCCGCAATAGTTTCTCCAAAACCCTGCATGACCGTCCCAGTTCAGAACCTCAGGCCCAGGTTGGCAGACTTGCAGGGTGACGCGGGAAGCTGGAACTCACGGAAGCGAAGCATAGCCGGCAAGGATGCGATCTTAGCCATAGGCATGCAGTCAGAGTTGCTGTCCGAGCGCGTGTGTTGGTGGGGTGGGTGGGTGGGGGTGGTGGTGTGGGTGTTGGGGGGGGGGGGGGGGGG